CAGAGCGCTGTGTAGGTGGGGAGCTGTGCTGCAACCTCAACCTGTTCGCGAGAACAAAAAGATTTTGCAAGGTCTTCCACGGCAGGGAGGGGAAAATCCCCCAAGGGGTGACGGAGTCCATTGCCAAACTAATTGGAAAAGGCATCGTCTGAGCAGAGCAAGGCTGAAGTGAAGAGGAATCAATTAAATGTGAATTCAGCATTTGATGTAGCAGTGCAACAGCTCCAGCATCTGCACTGCCTCCCTGTGTCCCCTCCCAGCCAGGAGTGCAGCTCTCATGCTGGGACACCTCAGAATAACATGAAATTACATTGGGCCTCTCTCCTCTTCACGTCCCACTGGACAATGTTTTAGCTGATGTTCTTGCAAGATGCCAGTCAGATTTACAACAAGCAAATCTTATAATGAAAGGCATTATCAGATCCCCTAAACCTACCACACACTATCTTTATCATCTGGTGCAGGAGTACAGACACTCAAAGCTCAGCCTTTCCTCCACACAACACTGAGTCATTTCTCAAAGGCCATAATTATATCAAATTTCCATTCTCCTCTGCATCTCCCAATTGCACAGGAAAAAAGGACAAGCAAAAACAACTTGTGCATTGCTCAGACCTGAAACGATCAAGTTTTGTTTTGTCTTTTCCCGTTTTCCTTCTTGTTTTAGGTCATTCCAAAGCACAAGTTTGTCCTTGTGAAGTTTGACACACAATATCCCTATGGTGAGAAACAAGATGAGTTTAAAAAGCTGGCGGAGAGCTCCGGCTCCAGTGAGGATCTGCTGATGGCAGAAGTGGGAATATCAGGTGAGGAGCTCTGTGGGCTGGTGGGGAGGGGATAATTTCACTGTGATTTCTGCAGGTTCTGAGCAGTTCTGGGGGAGGGATGGATGTGAGAGTGGAGCTCCTGCCCTGGCTGTGCGTGGGAGAGCTGCTGATCCATCTGGGCTGGGTAATGAGGAGCCAGCCCACGCTGCTGAACTGCTGCCACCTCCTCATCCCCTGCAATTCTTGCCTTTTTTTTCCCCCCCTTCTTTTTTTCCCCCCTTTATGTCCCACGTGCAGGGAGCAGAGCTCACAAGAATCGTGCTTTAGCTACAACCATGGTCAGACAAAGAATATTTAGTGTGATTAATTCCATGCAGCAAAGCCTGGGGCAGCACAGCAAGGGGTTCTTGCACTGTGGCTGCTTTAACTTGATGTGATTGTGACTGGAATTAAGAGAAAAAGAGTGAAAAACAGATCACTGTCACCTGATGTGCTCTGGCTTTGGAGGTTGAATTAAGAATTTAGGCTTAATTATCAAACTGTGAAGTTTTACCCACTCTGATATTTCTAAGCATATGTGGAATACTCTAGGGAGCATATTTGAAAAGGCTTTGTTTTCTGTCCTCAGGAATAAATATCATTTCTGTGAGATGAGTAAATCTCTTGGAGCTTGGCATGCTGTCAGAACCAAATCATTCTCTGCACACAGACAGGAAAAACTCTTATTTCACTGTAAAATCAGATAAAATCAATGGGTAGAGGAAAATAAGAGGAAAAAGGGTATTGATTTCCCATAAGGAGAACAGGGTTTATACAAAAGGTCCTGCCAATGTCTTACACTCTCACAGTCACAGCAAAACACCATTAAAGTCTTTTTCTTTGGAAAAGCCACTGAATGTCTGCCTTGCACAAATGATTTCATGAGGTGTTTTTATTTCAGTGTGTGGCATTTCCTTGGAACAGGCTCTCCAGAGAATGGTCAGGGCCCCAAGGCTGCCAGAGCTCAGGGAATATTTGGGATTTTGGGGTGTCCTGAGCAGGGCTGGAAGTTGGACTCAGTGAATCTTTTGGGTCCCTTCCAGCTCAGGATATTTCCATGACACTGTGATTTCCTGGCAGACAGGTTATTAGGACATGTTGAAGCTCTGCCTACAAATATTTGTGTGGGAGAGAATCCTAATTTAATTTTTGATTAATTTTGCTTTTCTGTGTTTCGTTGTCCCTTGACAGATTACGGTGATAAACTGAACACTGAGCTGGGAGAGAAGTACAAGCTGGACAAGGAAAAATTCCCTGTTTTTTACTTGTTCCAGGATGGTGACTTTAAAAATCCTTTACTTTATGGTGGGGAGATCAAGGCTGGGGCTATTCAGCGCTGGCTGAAGAGTAATGGCATCTACCTGGGGATGCCAGGCTGCCTGAAGGAGTATGATGTGCTGGCCAGCAAATTCATGAGCACCACAGAGAAATCTGATCGCCAGGCCCTCCTGAAAAAGGGCCAGGAGAATTTAGGAAAAGCAAAAGAAACCGAGAAGAAGTCGGCAGAGCAATACTTGAAAATTATGAGCAAGATCTTGGAGCAGGGAGAGGAGTTTGCTGCTAACGAAGTCGTCCGAATCACCAAGCTGATCGAGAAGAACAAGATGAGTGATGGAAAGAAGGAGGAGCTCCAGAAAAGCCTCAACATCCTCACTTCTTTCCGGAAGAAGAATAGTGACAAAGATGAGCTCTGATGTGTTGGAGAACTCTTCTGCAAGCTGTGAAACACTGTCAAGAGTCCTAACCAGTTCTCCTTAATGCAAGCAAACTTCCCGCTGGCTTCAAGAGGGCAGCAGATCTCCTTCTGGGATTCTCAGTTTAGAAGATCAAGAGGAAGAAATTCCTTAAAAACACAGTATTGTAAATGTGGGGAAAATCACCTAAAAGCGAGACACAGCAAGTATTGTGTAATGCTATCCAGTAACAGTGTTAAAGCAGACGACCAAAAAAAAAAAAGCTCTAGATTGGCCAGAAGCTCATTCCTGGTGGTTTTTACAGCTGTTCCCTGGCTAACAAATAACAAAATTCAGTCTCTCATTCCATCTTACGTGCTGGGTAAGGTACAGATTGGGTTCCCTCTATTTCCCCACCTTTTTCTGTCTGTAATATCCTTGGGTTTTATGCTTGTTAATCTACCCCTCACACTCCTTGTGTTGTCCCATTTTGGCTCTAAGTCTTGTTCTTACCTGTTGTTGACTCAGAGACTCAGAGCTTCCTTTTTCTGCCTTCCCCTTCCATGGCTTCTGTCCCTGTTTGCTTTGGCTATCAGCCAAGTGCTGGCAGTGAAGACAGTTCACAGCATGTCCCTCATTTTCTGTCCAGAGCAGCCATTTCATTAAATATTCTCCTGAAATCCTTTGTGATACCTTGACACAGTGAAGTGAGTTCTGAGCAAGGGCAGAGTCTCCTTGAGGTGCTATTACACTCAGTCTCACCAGTTTGTGAAAAAAAATCGGGTTTTCAGAGGTAAATTTGGGTGAGTTTTCTTACAGCTGAAGAGGTGTTTTACCTGCCCAAACTTTCATGAACAAAATGTTTTTCTAGCCTCCAGAAACAATTGACACTTTCAAACTAAATCCTCATCAGTGTTTGGTAGTTCTGAATATTTGAAAATGAGGTCTTGTAAGAGGAAGCAGAAGTATTTGTGTCCTTAGAAGCCTCGTGTGTGTTATTTAAAAGGAGATGCCTGGCCCAAGGATCAGGTCAATCCTCAGAACTGTGCAGTTCACACTCTGTGGAATTCGGATGCTTCTGGAAGATGCTGAAGCCCTGGTCAGGGTGACAGAGTTGAAAAGAGAAAAACACCTGTGAGTTTTACCTTAAAAGTATGCTTTAAAGAAAACCGATTCCTGTGGGAGCTTTGCTGCCTTTTGAATCTTGGGGTGGGTACAAGGAGCAGATGTTGCTGCGAGATAAAATGTATTAATAATGCTATAATAAAAAAAAAATTCCACTTCAGAGCTGCTTATTAACCACTATAGAAAAACTACAATGATCAGAGGGGAGGCTGTGATGGCTGAAGCGAGGTGAGAGTGGACCAGAGCTCTCTCCCCTCAGGTGCGGCAGAGGAAGGGCCCCGGCATGGCGGGCAGTCCTTGGGAGCGCTGTGTGGAGATTTGTCCCGCCTGGCTCAGCCCCGGAGGGAATTCCCTCGAGGGAATCTTTCACTGAGGGGAGCCGTTCTCGAAGCACTGAAGGAACGAACTATTCCCCAGGACTCTGAAGGGAGCAGCCCCTGATAGGCGCAGCACTTGAGGGGACCGTGCCCTGGATCTGTGAAGGGAGCAGTCCCAGGGTTCTCTGAGGGGAGCAACACGCAGGATTCTGAGAGAACCGTCTCCGGGCTCTCTGAAAGGAGCAACACGCAGGATTCTGAGGGAAGCGTGCCCGTATTCTCTGAGGGGAGCAGCCGCGGGACTCTCAAGGAGCCGTCCCCTGTCTCTCTGAGGGCAGCAGCCCCCGGGACCCTGAAGGAGCCGTGCCCGGGTTCCCTGAGGGGAGCAGCCCCCTCAGAGCCGCCGCCCGCTCCCCGAAGCGCCTTCCCGCCCCCGGACGCTGGTGACGTCACAGGTGGGCGGGGCCAAGGCTAAGCGGGGTCGCCTCAGGGCGGCTCCGTGAGGGGAGCCCGGGGCGGCGGGGACCGGAGCGAGCCCGCCCACCGGGGCTCGGCCGGTTCTGCCCCCGGAGGGATGCGCGGGACTCCGGTGCCCAGGACGCCAATCCCGCTGTTTGCCCCAGGCTCCTGTCCCCTCAGCCCCTCTCTGCCACCGGGCGCTCCCCGCAGCCGGCCCCGCTGGCGGGGGCCGGGCGCGGTGCGGCCCCGGGGCGGAGCGCGGGCGGTGCCCGCAGCCCCGGAGCGGTGCGGCGGCGGCGGCGGTACCCATGGCCCTGCCGGCGGAGGCGGACCGGCTGGATGGGGGCTGGCAGGAGGTGAGCGGGCCCCGCCGGCACCGGCACCCCCCGGGACAGCGGCTGTCCCCTCCCCGGGACCTCTCTGTGCGCTCTGTTCTCGTCCATCCCCTCACAGTCCTGCCCCAGCCCTGCGCCCCGCTCCGTGCCCGGCGGCACCGGCAGCGTTGCACGATCCTCCCCCAGTCTGTGCTGCTTATTCCTCTTCGGGATCCCGCTGTCCCCAGTCCCCGGTCCGTGCTGCCCCTTCCCAGGACTCTGCGGTCCCTGGTCCCCGTCCCCGGTCCGTGCTGCCCGCTCTTCTCCGGGACCCGCCTGTCCACCTTGCCCGCTCCTATCCCGATCCCCGCTCCTTGTCCTTCCCCCCCGGGCTCCCGGTCCCCGGTCCGTGCTGCCCGTTCCTCCCGGGTCCCGGTGTCACCTGAGCTCCCTCCCGTCCTTCTCCCCAGGTCTACTCCGCGCTCCAGTGGATCCAGTTCACCATGGCCATGCTCAGGTACGACACGCTGCCCATAGAGTTACTGTGGCGAAGGTGATTTTACCCAGAAAAGCAAAAAAAAAAAAGAGAACTCGCGTCTCCCAGCGAGGCAGACGCGCTCCTGTCCCAACCTGTGCTTTGTTTTCTCAGCGTTGTAGGTTCCAGCTCAATTATTGCCTACGCCGTCTTCCAAAACGCAGTGCGGTCCCCCGAGGTAAGGTCTGAGCTTCCTTCTCCCTCCCTCAGCTGTGGTGTCAGTCCCTCTATGTGGGTCACACCTTTAGCACAGACTCCCTTAGGAGCAGCTGCAGGTCTCAGGGTTATGTGGTTAAAACTTGTTTAATAGCTTGGAGGCAAAAGGCTTGCTAAGAATTGGGCTCTTTGTCTTGGTAGGAGGTGAAAGGGCTGACCTTGAACCTGTGCTTCTGCAGGGAGAAGCAGGTTCCTGCAGCTTTCTGCTGCTCCAGGAAAGTCCTCCAGTCATTCCTGGAGCAGGGATTTCTTGGTGTGCCGTCCTCAGTGGGGCCAAACTCCTGGGGGGCTGAGCAGTTGCGCACAAAGCTGCTGGAGTGCAAACTGGAGCTGCCCCTGCAGAAATGCTTTTATAAGGGTTGGATTTTGGCTGTCTCTGAGGAGTCTCTCTGGGCAGATGTGCTTCTAAAACTGACCCCACAGCCTCCATCCCATCCTGCCAGGCTTGGGGGTCCACACGCAGTCCCTCTGTGTGTCCAGGACTTCCTGGAGGCTGTGAGCCAAGCTGATCCCTGTGAAGTTGGGATTTGCTGTGCAGGGTTTGCAGGCTCAGCCCAAAAGTCAGTGGAGCTGGCAGCAGCTGTATTTGTCCTTCCTTCATCTTCTGTACATCGTGGATTCGATCTGCAGCCCAGAGAATGGGACTTTCAGGGAACTCCTGGAGCTGTCCCTGGAGAAGCAAGGAATGCAGGCAGCTGGCACATTGTTGGATGACACGGTGGGAAGGAGAACAGGAGTCCATGTTTGCAGGGCAAAGCTGTCCCACTTACAGCAGGGAGGACCTTGCTCCCAGCCAGCCTGTGGAAATGCTCTGCCCAGCACACCCAGAATAAACTGTGGAGATCTCCATGAATCCCCAGGGAAGAATGGGAATTCACCTTAGAAGAAGGCTGGGATGGAAAACCTACTTGAGCTTGTGCTGCTCAAGGTACACATCAAATCCTCCTTCTACCACATCTGCACCACCTGGGAAGCTCCAGATGTGATTCCTGCTGGGGTTCTCTCTCTGGAATGATGTTGGCAGCGTCCTGCTGTGACTCAGCAGCCTCATCCTGCTGGCTCCCATGGCCTGGGTGCTCAGGAGCCCTTCTGCTCTCAGTCATGTGATGGGGCTGTGGCTTGGGAGCTGCTCATGAGCCACTCATGGCTCCAGGTCAGCAATGGGCTCTTCCTGCTCCAGAGGCTCCAGATGTTTGTGCTCAGATTATTTCGGCAGATCCGCAGAGGAGGGCTGGATGCCAGCTGGAGGGACTGGTTTGCATCAGCCTTCCAGGCTCCTCTGCTGCCAGGGGAGATCTGGGTTTCAAAAGTGACAAAATCTCCATCAACTTCCCCATAATCTTGTCCTCATGTCTCGGGTCTGAAGTGGAAGTTTGTAAACAAAAGGGTTGGAAGTGATCCATATCAAGGCTAGCCACAAACAGATTATTCCCTGAGTCATGAGGAGCCACAGCAAAACATTTAAAAATAAACAGCTCTGGAGGCTGGGAGGAGAAGGATCTTAGAAACACTTCCCTTCCTGCCCCAACCTCAGAAATCAAATATTGCATTCTTGAAGCTTGCTCTCTGTCTCTATGGGGTCAATCAAACCCCTCAGCCTGAGGTAAATCATTCAGAAGAGGTGATGGCAAGCAAGGAAGAACCCTCAGCCCAACACATTTGAGGAAGAACTCTCAGCTGAACAGGTTTGAGGAAGAAACCTCAGCTCAGCAGGTTTGAGGAGGAACCTTCAGCTCAGCATGTGCCTGGGCCATGGCCACAGAGCCAAACCCCCGTGTGTGCTGCAGGATGGAAATCATTACATCTTTGCAGTCCCTTCCTCTATTTTATAAATACCAGTGGTAATTTTCTTTCCCCTTTTTCCCCTTTTTCAAGCCAGAGCCACACGTGTCCCTGTGTCACCTCCTTTATCCAGAACAGCTCCTGGGCCCACCAGCAGTGCCTTGCTGCAAGGGCACTTGTGCTGGAGACAGAGGTCACCTGTTGGATTGCAAAAGTGCCTTCTTTGCTTATTTTAGATCTGTTTGGTTTAACCTGCCTCCATCACAAACTGGGCAGTGCCCCCAGCCTGTCGTGCCAGGGCTTCATTTCTGCACCAGTGAGAAAAAGCCTGGTTAAAAAAAGGCATTTATAGATAAAAAAATTAAAATTAACTCCAGATCTTTGTGCCTCATGCTCCTTCACACCCTATGGACAAATCTGCTCAATCTACCTTAACTCTTACCACACTTCCTAAGCTCTCACTGCACATGGGAACAAGTAAAACACAACCTGATGGGTGGCATGCATTTACTTCCAGGACAATATTGAGGCAAATCTCACCAAAAGCTCAGCTCCATGAAAAGAAATACAAAATCAAAGCCTGCTGAAGCATTTCCATGCTGTGTTTGGAATTATCATTTTCTGTAGGGAAAGAAAAACACCACAATTTTCTCTCCTGGATGCTGAAAATGAGGTACCCAAGGCTTTAATTAAGAATGTAGGTAATTAGGCTGCTTTTCCAGAGTCTCTGCTCTGCCACTAACAAAGAAAATGTTGGCCAGAATTTTTGCACAAATGTTTTCCTGCAGTGTTTACAGTCCTGGCCAGTGTGTGCAAACTGGAAATGGGCTGGAAACTGTTGTTAAAGGAGACATGACTCCTTTGCAGCAATAATGGCTCTCAGTGGAAATGAATCCAGCTTGTAAAATAAACCCAACCTTAGTCATCAGCTGAAATGGCATGGAACTCGTAGAAAAATGTGTTTCAAGTAATCCCAGAGCTGAGGAAGGGTTTGTGTTTACTGGAAGTTTGATTTCTATGTGAGTTTATTTAAAACATGATGTCTCTTCTCCCTGCCAAGCTGTCCCGTTCTGCAAAATTGTAACATGGTGGATATTTGGGATATTTTCTGTAAGTTTTGATGCTGCTCTTGTGGCAGAAGTGGAGGTTGGAGTAGGGAATGTGCATTGGAACAGCTCCTGAGAGCACAATGTGGAATTTCCCTGCAAGGAAAGTTTTGGGAGAAGGGCTGGGAGGTGCCAGTGTTCAGATAACACCAGATAACCTGGGACTGATGTCTGACACAATTCATCTCTCTGCTGTAATTGGTGTGGGAGTTTTAAAGGACTGAAAACAAGGATGATATTCAGGAGTAGAGCCTGAAAAGTTTTCATCTGGTAACTTTTCTTTGAACTTGCTTGGCTTTTAAAGTAAAGGACACTTTTTTTAGGGTGAAGATGAATTGACTGGTCTCAGAAATGTTGTCACAGTGCTTCCCTGAGGGTAAATCATCCCTCCACAAAGTGCCACTTATGCCCCACTTCCCCTCAATTCGGGCTTTCAAAACAACTTTGCAGTGAGGTTTTTCTACTGAAAAACTTTCCTCACCTGCAGAAAAACCTTTGGAAGGCTGTATTAAATATCTTTATGTCTGATAAGGGAGTTAAATCTGCAGCTGGGGGGGCTGTGACTCCACTCACAGCTGCTGAGATTTTCCTTTTTTCCCTTTTCCAGGTGCGTCCCCTTTTCTACCTGAGCCTCTCAGATCTGCTGCTGGGCATGTGCTGGCTGGCTGGGGCCCTGCTCTACAGCTCACCCACCTCCCAGCAGGACCTCATCTGCTACAACCTGCAGGCCACGGGACAGGTGAGCGGCCTTGGCACCACATTCTGTCATTAACCTTGTCATTTGTCATAATTAACCTCGCTGGTGATCAGAGCCTGGCCCTGGAGCTGTTTCTCTTGGCTTTGTGTGGAAAAGGGAGGTCATGGCACTGGGGTTTGGGATCCTCTGTCTGTGGGATTTTGTGTTGCTGGTGTGAAATGAGCAGGTGGGACTGGATCTGTGTCCTGTTGGATGCATGCCCATGGATCTCTGCTCTCACATGGCAGCTTTTCCGTTTCTCTTTGTGCTTCCTCCAACCTGGGCAGGAACAGACACATTCTGTGACTTTTGAGCTCAGATTTAAATTACTCACATGAACATCCCAGTTCTTGCTCTTCCCAAGGACCAGCACAAGCTCAGCCTGTGTCCCAGTGCCTCAGCTGATCCCTGTGCTGGGCACCAGTTGGAGTAGGGTGGGTGAGCACTGTTTTCCTCAGAGTTTGTTATTGCCTCACCCAGTTCCCATTTCAACACCAGACCTTGGAAATCTCAGCTCTCAAAAATCTCTGCAGGGTCCAGCTGAGTGTGGGAGTTCATAAATGATCTCTGGAATTAATTTTTTCCTTTTAAAGGATATGGCAGGGAGGATCAAGGGGCTTTTGGAAGCTTTGATGTGCGGGCTCAGGCAGCTCCCTGGGAGTGTGGTGGCACCCACAGCTGGGAACTGAGTGTCCTCATGGAACAGCAGCATCCAGAGCTGGAAAGGATCTCCACATGCCTCAGAGAGGGCAGGGAAGCAGCTGCAGGTGCAGGATGGAATTGTTCCTGCTGCTGTGTGTCTGGGCATGGCCTCCTGCAGCCCAGGGTTGTTTCAGCAGCTGTTTTGGGGTACAGATGTGTTGCTGAGGGTGGTGAGAGCAGCTGTTCAACTCCAGGCTCATCTCTGGTCCCTCCAGCCCTGCTGGCTCTGCAGTCTGTTCATGTTGGGAGAAACAGTGAGGTTTGGGTAACTTGGCCACTTGGGATGATGCAGAATGACATCAAAGATGTTTTTAAGATGGGAAAATGAGGAGAGCTTGGGAGAGGCTTTCTGAGCTGGAAGGTAGAAAGAGCAAAGCAGGACTGAGGCTGTTCCTGAGCTGTTTCCCTTGCCTGGGGGACAGTTCTTTCAGCTGATGTGATGTTTTTATGGCCTGGAGGCAATTTGCACTGCTAGAGGAGAAATAATTTGGCTGTGGAAAATACACCCATAATTTCTCATCTCCCTTGCACTTCTGGCTCTTCTCTGCCCTCACTTTTCCAGCCTGTGGCTTCTCAGGGACACCAGCACAGGATGGGACAAGGTGAGGGCTTTGTGTTCATGCTGGGTGGGCAGAGCTGGCCTTGAGCAGAGTCACAGCCTGAGCTCAGGCAGTGTCCCCTGTGTGCCACCCCCAGTCCCCAGGGCACAGGGACTGCCTGGGTGGCAGAGCCGGATTGTGCCTGGCAGGAGCTGGGGCTGTGTTTGCTCTGGGAGAAATGAAAACAAACGGAGCCCTTGCCATGGCAACCTTTCCCCAGGGCACGGGAGAGTGCAGGACCTCCTCACCCACCAGCCTGCAGTGCCCTTGAGAGGTGGGAACACCTCCTGCATAAGGAGGAGCCGGTAACAGGTTGAACCAGCAGATTCTGCAGGGCAGGAGGGATCTGGGAGCTGATGGAATGAGTAAATAAATGTCTCACAAACACCTGGGGCCTCTCTGCACACCAGCACCCAGAAGGTGTCAGATGAGCCGAGGTGAGGATGGGCAGGGACAGCCCAGCAGGGACAGCCCAGCAGGGTTTGTGTTTACTGGAAGTTTGATTTCTATGTGAGTTTATTTAAAACATGATGTCTCTTCTCCCTGCCAAGCTGTCCCGTTCTGCAAAATTG